AGGGGGGAACTAGACGGTGAAGAGGGGGAGGGGGGGTGCACCGAACTCGACTGAGAGAAAGAGGGAAACCGAGGTAAAATACGAGTGAGGTAAAGAGGGGAGAGGCAAGAGAGAAAAAAAAGAGAGAGAGAGAGAGAGAGAGAGAGAAAAAGAGAAAAGATGAAGAGAAAAAGAGAGAGACATTTGAAGCGAAACCAGAAGCGAGGAGAGGACACTGTCGTACATTAATTACTTCTCCCCTCGCCCTTTTACATCTCCCACCCCACCCCTCAGCCCCCCCATTGCCACCAACCCTCCGGACCCCATTGCCCTCTCATCGACAAGAATCCTTGTCCTAGCCGCTCACTCTCTGCCCTCTTCCTCGTTCTCCCTCTCGCTCCCCATCCTCTTCCCCCAGGTCCCCCACACCCACCCCTCCCACCACCTCATCCTCCCTGTGTTACCCTCTTCCCCATCCCCCGCCCTCAACTGAACGGCCATGCGTGAGAGAGAGGAAAGAGGAACAGGGGGGGTGATATGGGGGAGTGAGAAGGGGGGGTTGACTCTCGTTCTATCTCCAAAAGTAATACAAATTCTGTCGTTATATATGTATCCCTCTGTCTCCCTCTATTTTCCTCTGGTTCCTTCAATTTCACCGCCACTATTCCCCATCTCCCCACCTCCCCCCCCCCCCCCCCCAACCATCCATTTCCCCGAAAATTGCGGGACGGTGGGTGAGGGTGAAGGCAATGTGATCACCATCCACCCTGGGATATAAACCTACCACCCAACCACCCAACCACCCATCCACCCTTTTAACCCATTGGGAGAGGGCCAGTGAGGGGGGAAGTGGGTGGTGGTGGGTGGATGGGTGGATGGGTTGATGTGAGTGGGTACATACGTGTACTATATTGGAAAATCGATTTTTCAAGCAACCTCACTGTGGTACGGGTTAGTTTGGTGTTGTTTTTTTTTCCTTTTTTTTTGTTTCGGGAGATTAAACTGGAAAAGTATTTGGGATTGGACAGGGGAAGGGGGGAAGGGGGGAGGAGGTGGAATAGGTGGCGAGGAAGGGGGCAAGAGGTGGGGAAAGGGGGGAAAGGGGGGAAGGGGGCGATGTGCGACCGTCATACACGTAATTACTAGCGTTTCAGGCCGACAACCGTACACGACCTCGTATTTTTTTTTTCTTGTTTCATTTGACGGTTTTTTTTTTGTTTTTTTTTCCTGCTTTGGGAATTCTTCATTCTAGATGGGAATGGGGGGAGGTGATTGTGCCATGGGGTAGGGGGTAGGGGAGGGGATCGAACGAGAAATCGATGGTTTTCGAGATTTTGATAATGATTTAAGATGGAAAATTGTCGGACAATTATGTTATGTTGAATTCTGTTTATGTGGCTTTTTCAATTTGTCTTTCAGTTTAGGTGAGAAAATTACAACAATTTGGGGGAATGCCAAGGCCAGGGCTTTCCCACGGTGGGCAGAACAAATGCATTTTACGATTGCAGTGTTGTTTCAATGAAATTGGGGTAAATGGAACAATGAGGTGTGTAGTAGTTATTGGAATGGATGTTTTAATTATTAGTGCGTGGTGCCATTGATAGTTTACCTTGGGTTTTAGTAATCCTAGTGGTTAGATTAATCGAGAATGAGCCGGTTAGCTTCATGTAACCGCATTCAATGGTTCATATCTCTGTACAAGATGATACGAATATTCTCTTTACACGTTGTAGAAATTCTCACACACGATGTTATCCCAAAAGAGGACAAAACTCGTCTGATTTTGTTTTAACACTCATAAACCGTTGACGAATTGTAACAACACTAGTGTTTATTCGGTAATATTATTGTCATTAACAATCACTCACTCCTTATTGACAATAAATAGTGCACAACATCACTGATTTATTTCATATTATTTATTGGTTTATACACTTGGATTTTTAGCACGCTTTCGTCTCCCTTGTCCCGGCATTTTATTATCCTGGACTCGGATGAGCGTCCGAGTGATATTAATATTAATCCCGTGATTATTTTAATGAGTTATGGGTGTTTGTTGTAATGTCGTTCGAGGGGTGATGGAATTTTGGGAATTTTTTGTGTCGAGGGGATGAAAGAAAAAAAAATACGCGCCACCTCTGCGAAAAAATTAACGAGAGTGATTCAACATGGCGGAGAGACCGCCACATTCGGTCAAACTAACTCTCTCAGAAAAAAAAAAAATCACTCTCTCTCACTCCTCAATTGCCCCCACCAAATTCACAACCGCCGGCCGATCATCCCGATTTTTCAATTATTACTGGAGTTTTTTAGAGCGAATTATCACAACTACCGGTGACGCGGACTGATAAGAATATTTTTCTTCAAGTTATTAATGTTTATAAGGATTTTTTTTTTTGGGTGAGATACGCGCGAACGCGTGGTGTATGCACAACTACTTTGCGCCCCTCAAACGAACCCCCGTTGGTGAACAACGGAAGCAAACCGGAAGAAGCGAGGGTTAATCAGTGAAAACACTGCCATCTGGTATTAATGAGGGAATCCATTACCTACGGGGGGTTAGATAGACAATTTTTCCAATTTTAAGATTTGAAAATTGGCGGGAAAATGTGGCCAGCCGCGTAAATTCGAATTTAGGTGATTGGATTTTTTATGTTGAAGTAAAGATAAAAGGCAAAAAAAAGTGGAATTGATATTTTGTTGCCGCAAAATTATAAATAAATATAAATAAAATGGAATTCTCTGTGAATTACAAATTCAACAATAACTTGAAAAATGAAAAAAAAAAAAATCTATCGGAGGGAAATACAAATGGTTAAAAACAAAAAATCTAGACGAGTTGCATGTTTCTTTATTTTCACAATTGTTTAAAATGATTGAATATAGTAGACATTATTCGGTAACAATTCAATGGACACGTACGAGGAAAAAAACGTGGAGTCTCCAATAAATCGCGATTAATTCCCCATAAACATCACCAGAATTGTCCGGAAATTATTTTTCACTTCCATCTTTTGAATACTATAACTATGAGCGACACAGTTACTTGAACAATTTAACAACAAACAGCGATAAATATTGATTGATAATTTGGTGAAAATGTTGGGTTCTTCGGTTGATGTAACATCGTAGTTACTGAAAATTTCGATTGATTAAACATTACGAGCGTCGGACGTTATTTGTTTAAAAAACAAATGCCAAATAATCCATGACACAATGAATTTTACAGTAATTGTGAATACAGCAGTGCGGAAAAATCATTCTATCATTTTCTTGAATCCATTATTTCGGTAGATTATTTTTTCAAGATAGAGCATCGACGTGCTCTAATCCTTTATTATATCCCAATTATTTAAACAATCCAACAGAGAGTCATGCTTTGCGATTGTGCGGGTATAAACACCCCAATCCGCCTGCAGATCGTGGCTCTTCATAATCATCACTTTTTCAATAATAATCCCTTAATAATTTCTACGTTAACTATGCCGCAATTAATGCAAAAATAAACTATCAAAGAAACACTTCCGACTGACGCCAATTGAACAGAAATATTTATTCATCATAAAAAACAATCTGGAAAGCTATGAAAGGAGAATTATTCCGCTGCCTTTGAAATGACTTGAAGCAAAACTCGAGACTTCATCAATAAATTTTCCATAAAGGATAAATTTTGAATTTTCTCTGGGCCCAGTCCCCAATATATTGCACAATCGGCACGGATTTATGGACAAATCTCCTTTCATTAACTCCCACTTCATCAGAAAAAATTAAATTTAAGAAAAAGTCGAAGTAAAACATTTCAACTTTCATCTACTTGACAATATAATAAACGTCGGAATCATGCCTCAATCATTACAATTTTAAAAATTTTTCTCGTCCTAACAAGACGCTGATTCCTATTTCCATGAGTTATTCTCCGATCGTGACCTCAAACCCGAGAAAAAAAAAATGTTTCCCATTCAATTAAAAATGAATTCGAGTTGGGAAGAGATTGGAGTGTGCGTAAGATTACAAAATTTATCTTCAGCAGAAGAAAAATCATTTTCTCAATGAAAATCCCTCTCATTTCCAAACGCATTATGTTATCTCCGCGTTATGGAATGATAAAAAAAAAAGAAAGCAATACATTTTGGCGCTTGTGAACCATTTTTTCAAGATATTAAGAATGTATTATCGTTCGAACAACAGTGGGAAACCGAAACGATTCAAGTCTTCATTTTTTTCTTTTAATCTATTTTGCATCGTATGTGCCATTATCAATTCTTGGTTCTTAAAACAATCGATTTGATATTTCTCGCCACATTAGGAACTTTTAATACTGTTGGTAAATGTCTCACTGACATTCAAGAACGAGTTGATTGGAATGAATGTTTTACTTCCATTATTCGGCTCTCAGTTATTTTCTTTAATTTTTTTTTTGGAATGACAGAGTTTTATTTCTCGTTCTATCAATTTCAGTTCCTACATCACACACATACGTTTTTATATTCTCCCATGAAATGTTAAAACGTTTTGAGCAAGTCCCTCTAACATCCATTCCCCTCCCTCTGAAATTTATCCCCAAAGATTTCCTCTCATCACATAGAATATCCATTGTAAAAAGAAATCCATAAATTTCAGTTCTGATGAACAACAAAACTCAACTAATCTCCTCAGATTATCATCGACAACAATAATTATTAATAATTCCATACTGACAAATGGAGAGAATAAACTTGCTCTGGTGACTGACGTTTTACAATTTCACATTTCACTCGATTTTACAAATCTGATCGCAGATAAAACGTTAGATACTTATTAATTATGAGCGAGATGAATCGCTAGATCAGTTATCAGAATAAAAACATAAAATAATAGAATCGTTTTGTCTTCTAGCGATCCTCACACTTGACGATTTAAACTGGCGCAATGCACAGGATTTAAACAGACTTCTCTTTCTCTCTCTAATGCGCGTTTCCTCCATCCTGCAGATATTATATTAATTGCAGATTTTGCAGTTACTGTCATACATCTCGCTAAGATTTTCCCATTAAAATGTCACAAGTGAAATTATTAAAAAAAAATGTTAAATCATCAGCATTAATCCAGTCTCGAAAACAGAATCGATTGAATTATTATCCTCTCGTTTATCCTCTCGCAAATACTTTCAGCGATATTCACTGGTGACACATTAACGTTTATTTATCACAGATGTTTGAATAAATCACCCCTTTGTCAATATTTTTAAGCTCACTCGATCTTAACACGTGATGGAATAACCATGACTATTTAGTTTATTTACTCCTTTGTACGTAGTTGAGTTAGCCCCCATATTAATAGCATTGTTAGAGGATTTTGAATATTTAAACAAAATGTAACAATAAATAAACTGATAAATATCAGCTACTGAGTGAAAAACAATCTCATAATTCAATCGTGATAGAACAGACGGAAGGTAAATGAACAATCAGAAGATAAATCGGTGAATAATTCAAAAAATTCCAACAATGCATGATTCTACGTTGTTATAATGTTCATCACAGATATTATCACCTGGGGCTTTTCCTCCCAGGGCCCACACTAGCCTCCTCGTCACTAAGGCCTGCCTTAGTAAAAAAATATACGATCGGCTCTTAAAAAATAGATCTTAACACATTTTTTTTTTGTTTCTTTAATCTGGCTAACATCGCTCTCATAAGATATTACAAGTTAGTTTTGATTCTTGGCAGGCGAATCTTAATGATCTTAATGTTACGTAATTCTGGGGGATTTTTGTGTTTTTTTTTAAATCTTTAGTTAACTTTAAATCATTATCTTTGATCCTCGAGTGAGCTCAGGGCATTTTCAGATCTACGCTATTTCACGTGCGTCGTCTCTCAACTATTGACACACATTCATTATATTTTTATCAATAACAGAGCAAAAAAAATCTTGAACAACAGAAATATCGAGTGGCTCAATCTGATCGGGAGCTTTTATTTATTTATGCATTTTGTCTTCGAAATCAATGAGTTCATATCAATTCAGAAATTTTCAATGCACATAACAATTAATAATTAATCCTTAATTACTCATTGTTATTAATGCAGATTATTAATTCCTGGTTTGCTGTGAGACCCTGTTGTTTCAGTCTCCCTTTATGCTGGCAGGAGATTGATGAGGATAAGAGAATTTTTAAGGAGAGAAAAGCAAGAAAAGCAAGAAAAGCAAGAAAAGCAAGAAAAGCAAGAAATGATGAATGTGTGTCCACATGACACCAATGTCAGCTTCTAGATTGCGTATCGCTTTTGGCAAGCTCAGTCTTATGAGTCATATTTGTAACATTTTTTCTTAATTCACTGCTACAAGCTTCTGTTAATTGTTATCTATTCTTGTGCCCATGCTGTGGTGCCACATACATTCCTCAATTGTTATTTCATTAATCTTTGTACAAGAGGCCTTGCATAATCCTCCGAGAGACGACAATCACGGATATCACTTTGTATTTTAAATATTCTGTTTTTTATTTTTATGTTTTTATTATTTTTAGTTTTTATTTTTTCGACTATTACGCATGGATATTACGGCACACATTTGCATTTGCACATTGTCTCACGATTTTTTATTCAAGTTTGAGAGTTTATTTTGTCGGAGTATCTTCGACCACTCGTCGATATTTGAACAGAAAACATTTCAGTTGTCGATAGAGACCATTTTAAAATAGATCTGCGAGATTATCTGGTAAATACCGTGAAAATTGTCGATCTAGATCCACAAATTTCGGTGATATTTGCTAAATAATTTGTATAAAATTGTTGGACTGCCTCATTCTCGGTCATTTACTACTTGTCTATCAGTTTGCAGTTTAATTTTCCTCGTTTTCACTCCATCCTAAGGAATTTAATTTTAATACGAAAGATCATTGGCGCTTATGTTTCTTAAATCTCTCACGTCTTGCATTTTTTTTTTGTCTTAAAGTTTTTTTTTTCATTGATCTACAAACTAGTTCTTTGAGTTAACTCATTAAACGGGCGTCGATATTCTTGTTTAATTTATTCTCGTTTATCCCTCATCTTCACACTCTCTCGATATTTTTGGTCGAATGATTTTCACTCAACTCAGGTACATGTTAAGGCCCGTTCTAACGTTTGTTTTTTCATCGTCATTATTTTTCATTTTGCCGCTTCACAAATTAATTTAATCCCATCCTCAATATCTCATCGATTTTTCCCACATTAAAAGCACACACACACATGCTTATTCCCCTTTATTATTCACGCACTATATCCTCAAACAGATAAAAATTATAAAAAAGGAGAGAATTTTCATTTTAAAATATCAACGAAAATGATTAAAAATTTTTTTTTATCTATTTACTCAGCTCTAAAAAAACGAGAGGAGAAGAAACCAAAATACAAAAACGACTGAATATTTCTATAAATATTTCTCCAATTACTCTAATTAATTATATAATTCTAGATTGCAAAAAAATTTGTCATCCTCTCGTTGAAAATTCTCTCAAGATTCTTCTGATGTTCGATTCACGAGAATTTGGTCGCGTTACAATCCGAATAATTTTCAAAACGAAATGATTTATTTAAAAAAATGGCAAGACATACTGCGTGCATCTCAGAGAAATGATTAATTTCGAAGATATTCATTTATGAGAACAAAATATTCTGAAAATGAGTCCAAAACAATTGTAAAGTTTCCCAAATTCAATCTATTGTCTCAAACATCTTGAGATCGATCACTTTCGAAGATAAACTTTAAATCAAAACCGATATTTATTTCGTTTTACTCTCATCACTACGAACTACTCCCCGATGAAATCGTCTCATTGAACCATTCCCTCTCCTCAAATCCTCAAAATCCGTTGAAAAAACATTCTCATGCGTGTGCGCTGAATAATAAACCACTCATGACTGACTTAATAGGACTAGCAAACTATTTCCCTAATCTTTTTACTTTTTGAAAAATAGATATCCACGTGAAACTGACAATAAACTAAACAGTCAAATACGATTAGAGTTCTCCTAATTTTCCTCATAAAAAAAAAATTGCTCCATTAACGTTTTAATAATTAATCAATTAATTAATCAACTTCTCATTTTGTTTTTTTTTTTCTAAATTGTGTGCGCCCGATTGGTTGTCGTATTAAAAATAACCTCGGTGCTGCCTTTGTCATCGTAGTCACGATCTACGTGACATTAAGAATGTATTTCTCCATGCCCCGACATGTTTTAGGCTTTCATTACATTTTCACTTGATTTACGTTGATTAATCTAATATTCCACAGTTGGAAAACGGGTTGTCATTATTTTAATTAATTTCTTTCATTTACCTAAGTTGTGGAATCGTCGTCCTCTCGTCTTGAATCTTTTTTGGAAGATCATGATGTACTCAAACGATTCTCTCCACTTGTGATTTCTCCTCAGTCTCACAAACAGTTCACACGTACTAATTACTTTAATTTATTCAATTAAATATCGACCCTGTTTGGTCTTGGTCACTCTGGATTCTAATCCATTCGTCATACCTCCATCATTTCTACAAACGTTTATTATTCTCTAGCTTCTCCTTATCTCCTCCGAGATATCACAAATCAAGCCATCCGTAAATGCATCTAGTAAAAGGAGTTGTTTTTGATTGATTCATTCATTGATTAATGATGACTTAATGGATGATGGGACTTATCTGCTCTATTTACTCTGTTTTCAACGAATAATTATTTTGCATCCTCCAGTACCAGTGGCATAATAACATCTCTACTGTCTCCAGAGACTGCATCAATCAGTACAGGAGTTAATTCAGCATCAGTAAAAGGTTTCCAATTGACTCCAAGAATTTCATTAATCTCACTCTTGGTTTTTTCAAACTCAAACTCATCTTCACTGATGATATTGCTCTCCGCAAATTCAAATCTCCTCAGGACATGTCCCCTCAGTCTGGCGATAGCCAGTAGATTCTCTTGATAATACTTATGGCCAATGTACACCATTTCAACGAGATTGAGACACCTCCAGGCAATGAGAACTAGAGCATCAGCGCTGTCAGCCACTGAATAATCGTCTGTCGGTGGTTCCAACTCGTCATGATCCATCGAGTCGATCCAAACGAGGGATTTCAGGCTCGAGGAATACCAAGAGGAGAGCTTGAAAAGGGCCCTGAGGTTAACAGACTCGCAGAATAGGGCCCTGAGGTGGGTCAAGGGCATCGCAGGTTGGAGGATATTAGAGTGGAGGATTGTCACACCGACGTATGCGTGGAGGAGATTCAGACGAAGGCCACACCGTTTGTTATTGAGGGTGAAACGCTGCCAGGATTCGTTGGAGGTGCCTGGATGATCGTATTGCCAATCGTGAATGTGGACGACTAGTCTCTCGAGGGTGCCAGACGTCAGGGAATCGAGGAGTATGTTGTTTAGGTGCTCGTAATCCAAGGTGAGGACTACCAGGGACTCGAACTGCCGGAAGATTATTGGATTCAAGTGGATAGACTCGTAGTTCTCTGGGTCCTCTTTCACGGAGGCCAGTCCCAGGTGGGTCAGCTGCTTTCCGTGGTGGAGGATCAGGGTGTCGATGAGCTCTCGTGAACGAACTGACAGGTCCTCGTTGCAGCCTAGAGTCAGCACCTTCAGTTGTTTAGTTGTCGATATTATCTTTAGGAGGGATTTGTAGATTCTCTCGGTCCATATACAAGAATCGTTTAGGTTTGTCGTCCATTCGAAGGTGGAGGATGTCGGCTCGATTATCAGTTTCTTCAGGTTACGGTTGTCCTGGAAATTACGCAACAGGGACTCCAGTTCTGGACTCCAGTGCGGGGTTTGACATCTGATTGTCGCGTTTTGAACGCTCAGGGCGAAGCAGTCTGCCAAGTGTCTGAAAAATTATTCAATGTTTCAAGTCAATTGAATTATTGCAGGGGCTACGAAGTCCTCCACTTTTCTGGAAATTTCGATTTGGATTTCATTTCATTTAACTTATCCTTTAATTTTTGTAAATGTCAGGGTTAGGAGTTGTTGCTTGTCTTGGGAATTGGAAATTGGGAATTGGGAATTTGGAATTAGGAAATGGGAATTGGAATTAAAAATGAAGGAGAACTTTTTCCCTGGGGTATTGAGTAATCAAAAAATTAGACAAAGTGAATGAAAAATTTCATCACACGAGAAATATGCTTCATCACTCTCTCGATTCCAGATGTGAACGCAGAAAAAATGTAGAGCCCACGAAAGAGAAAGTTCTATCCACAAAAAAAAACCAATTATTTTTCAATAGATACCTTGCCCATGGTATACTCATAGAGTCCTCATAAATAAAAGTAATATCCTTCCAGAAGCTAGGATGAAAGAGTGCCTGTCGCCAATTTTTACAAACCTGCAAGAATTCATGTTATTTTTAAATCCATCGGAGACAATCGTAACAACAGAGGAAATGTTAAATGTAAATACACTTGACATTGAGGATACGAAAACAAAGATTGTCCCCGCCCATAGAAATTTAGGGTCTCAGGTTACAGCCCATGGAAATATATAATCTCCAATAAAAATGAAAGAGAGGAAAACAATGGAGACCAATCACTTGCTATCAATTCACCTCAATTGAAAAGTTATAAAAAAACAAATTGAATACTCACACCAGAGGCATTAATTCTGTCTTTGTGTTTGAGATAGGAAAATATTTCCAGCATAATAACACTGGGTAGACTGTCCCAACAGCTCGCACCATCATGTGCCATGTTTGACATTTGGATTTACAGTTGAATTGAAATGAGGGATAAAGAGTGAGAGAAACTGACAAACGTATAATGTATCCGAGGTCGATCCCACCTCTGAGTGTAATTTTCCTGTCACCTCCAGTGACGATAAAAAATTGATAAGTAAATAATTATTGAACCTCGCCCACCACGATTCGTTGTAGTCTTATCAATTTTATACTTTTTTCATGGATGAACTTAAAAACGATACCATCTTACGACACCACAAGTCCAGACCAGAAAAGACCAGAGGTAAAGAGGAATTGCTAGAACCAACGACAGACCCACAACCACGACTGACAAATGGCAACAGATTATTTCAATCTTGACAGAACTCTAGATTCTGTTGTGGAGGGGGGAATCTAGGGGCGGGAAAAGGTGAATTGTCAGGAGTTTTTGAATGTTTTAGAAATTTCGGTTATTGAATTATCTGGAAAAAAAAGTTTCTGTGAAGAAGACGATTTATGGTTTCAATTTCGGATGATGAGATTTTTTGGAAATTCGAATCCGTGGGAATTATTGGAAATTAAAATTGGACTTACTTCCTTTTGGTACCCGGTGGCTCCACCTGGGGAATGGTCATTTCCTCCCGAAGAGGATTGACGAAAGAGAGACTCAGTTCTGGATTCAAAGAAATTACGCATTTGGCCAATTGATTTTATTTAGATTATTATTTATTATTATTCTTTAATTATTATTCCGTAATTATTCAGGTAAATTCCATGCTGTAATTCCAGAAACTCATGGTTTATATAGAGGTAATTAATTTGTTGTTGTGCCGTTAAATTATTATTAAAAAATCACAATAAAACCGAGAAAAATGAAAAACAAAACGTTTTTTTCTACAAAAACGTCAGGGGATTAAATTCTTATCTTTAGGGGATGAAAGACTTTCATTAATAGTTGTCTTTCTTTTTCCAGTAAATGCTAGAGGTTTTTCAAAAATAAAAATGAATCTACGATCTCAATGGATAATAAAACACCTCTGCATTATCTTCCGGGTGAACCATATGTTTTTTTGCTTTGAAAAATATCAGTTTACCTTTTGGATCTCACAAGTTCATCATGCTTGCAGGTTTAAGTGGTCAATGGTAAATAAAATCACCAGCAGTGTGGAATGTTTCTTAGAATAAGGGTATTAAAGTTTAATCCATCGAATGAAGGTGTTTTGGCGCCTGTAAGATCATCTCGTATGAAGAAAATTGATACATGACGACAATGGGACATCCCAGGGCTTGCAGTAACGTAACATTTGTGATTATTGCATTGGCATTTGTGTTGACAACAAGAACATCTAATTGCAATGACTTTGTCGAGGGTGAAGCCGGTAAAACAAGTAGTGCTAACGTGCTTGGAGATAATCAGACTAAATTGACCAATGGAATTGATCATCAGAAGAATATCACTCTTCATAAAATTGATAAAGTTGAACAGGGCAAGATAACGAAGGTTAATAATAAGGAAAATGAAAAACCAACAAATGGTGGACTTCCTAAAGAGAGGGAGAACAAGAATTTAACGAATATTACTATGGATCCAACGGTTGTACGTATTATTTTTTCGTTCTAATTCCTATTTAAATAATTCAACAAATGAGTTATAAATCTAATAATTCGATTTGTTATTTTGTTTATAATGGATAATTTTGTAGTTAAATCTTTTAATGAATTAATAATCAGTTGAAGGTTCTCTTTAATCATCAGGTGGAAGACGAAGTTGCATTGAGGTGTTTGGAGAATTAATTAATTTCGTCTGCTTAAATTTTCTATTTTTAGAGATGAGTGATTCGTATTACTTTGTAAGACAGTTTTCTCTTACCCAACGTTAAGAAGGAAGTTCGCGATTATTGACTCATCATTCCACATGAGAATGAAGTGACATTGAAAAACACCTCACAAATTTCACGCCAAATTTTCTCAAAAAAATCCATAAAAATTCTTTTTTAAATTGAGACTAAAAATCATATAATTGAAAATATCTCCTGTGGCAGCCGCAGATGAATTCCGTTTTCAATTTTTTATTATTTTATTTATTGCTGGCTGGAACACAATATTTTTGCAATTCAAATTTTATGAATTGTAAACTTCACATTTTTCGAAAATAAAATCACTTTGTACTGCGCAAAAAGTTGATTGTAGTCATCTCTGTCATTATATTTTTATGGGCCTTATTTTTTCAATGGACTTACTAATTAATTACCGATTTTTCTTGCAGATTCCGTTGGCTCATATACCGTCACTGAATCCAGGGGCTCTGAAGCGAGCTTTCTACGTTTTCGCGGGTCTCAGTGTTATAGTCCTAGCTTATTTAATGATCCGAAGTTTTGGGTTCGTTTATTTTCGATAATCACCCTTTCCAAAGATTGTCGATTTTTTTTTGATAACCCTACGGTTTCATCCGGAAAATTATTATATAATTATTATTACTATAATAATTCTTAATTTAGAAACTTTTACTGTGAAAAATATTCAGCTAAAATGAGTTTTTCTTTTCATAACTAGGTTCAAAAAAAATCCAGCACAAATGGTACGTAAATACGGGGTTCTTGCGCACAAACAAGACATTGAGATGCGTCCACTACCACTAGATGAAGACGACGAAGATGACACGACAGTTTTCGACATTAGTGGTCTTTCCCCACAAAGATCTCAGCATCAGGCATTATAAAAACGAAAAAAAATAACTAGGCAGTGAATTCGTAAAACGCGACAAGTCAATCAGTCCAATATTTCCCATACTTCTAAATAGAAATTAATATCAATAATAATTAAATTTCAGTTAAAAGTTTTGAAAAATATTTTTGTCGGCCCATTTTTCCTTTTGAAAAGAAAGTTTTTACATTTTTCTCTCATAATCTTTCAGATTATTGTCAGGAGATAAAAGACTTTATGGAAATTATTTCCATTTTATCGGAGATGCGTTCGTAATTAATTAAAAATTATCTAATTAATTGATTGAACATGGGAAATGGTACTTTTGCTTTTTACTATTCACCTGCGTAAATAAATCAACCAAAAACAAACGAAAAGTGAAAATGAAACAATCAGTGGTCCCACGAGATTTTTTTACCCATTTCATGAAGCTTCGATTATTTCATAGCATTTTCTCAAGCCTTAAATGTGATATTAAGAAAATCATATAATTAACTCAATCCAACTCCAATGATTTTGATTGGTGAATTTACTTATTACGTGTATAATATTTCCAACGAAAAAAAAAACTATCTTTGTTGTACGCTTATTGAATATAAATCGTTTATATTTCACATATTTTGTTTTATAGCTATGGAATGTTCATGATCAAATTCAGAGTAATCATAAATACTGTGAAGGCAAAAAATAAATCGATCACAGAAATCCGCGGTCTATAGCGTCAACCAAGGCGCTGGCAAGACGTTGGCGTTTCGCTGGGACTTTCAAAGGCTTCAGAGCAAACACCTCAACAATGTCAACAGCTTCATCTCCTTTGATTCCATCTAGATTCAAGGCTTCTGACTCATCCAGCATACTAAATGGAATTGATTCCAAACAGAAACCCACACCGTGAACGAATTGCTCCTTCACCTGATAAAAAAAAGACCAATTAAAAATAATTATTTCTGTTCCAGAATTAATTCCAGAATAATTTCCCGGGAAAAATCATTGGATTTAATTGTGACTCTCATAAGTTTATTAAAATATGAAATGATTACCTCTTCCTGGAATAAATACCAGGGATAAACCTCTTCAGCATTAGATCCAAGTTCAGAAATTGTCTTGGACAGCTCCTCATGGTAGAACTTTAGAAGGAAATCAAAGTTTTCGTCCCTCATTTTCTGGTCTGTGCATGAGTAGATGAAGAATGATATGTCAGTGACGGGACTGGCACACCTGGCCAATTGAAAATCCAGTAAGAGCGTCTCCATCTCTCCACTGGTGGTTTCACGTATCAAAAAATTTGGAGCCCAGCAGTCGCCCTGATTCACAACTGAAGTCGGTGCGTGAATGCGAGTGCATAATTCCACAGATTTCTTCCACAAATCCTTTCCATCAAGAGAGCAGAATTTTTTCTGCTGTGGCGTGTCTGGATACTCCAAGGATATTGCGTCCTTTGCAATGCTCACAATGAGCGCCTAAACAATTTAATCGATTAATTAAATTAAATAGATTCTTAACGAATAAAATTAACTGGTGAATCAGGATAAATACAGTCTATAAATAGAGACGAATAAAATAAATAAATCGTGTAAATGAAATGTGGAAACAAGAAATTACCTGGAATTTCGCGTACCAGTCGGTCCACTTCTCACTGAAATAAGTTTCTTCCAGTTGGCCAGCGACTTTATAAAACTCTTTCTCGTGTTGATCTTTGTGAGCAAAAGAGACTCCATGGAATCTTGCCATTGCTTTCAGTATAACTTTGCATTCTTCTAAACTCAAAGTACTCTGTCGTGCTGCTGGACCGAATCCATAAACACTCACGTCTTCCAAAACTATGAAATCGTTTTCACCATCTAAAAAATGAGCTAAACAATCCGGAACCAGGAATAAATATTCTTTCTTTTTGGACGCAAGGAATTTCTTGAACTCTGGAACAATCTGGAGATCAGAAAAATTATTAAATTATTGGAAAAGTCGTGAAAATTTTTCTAAATGCATAAAAAATATATAAAAATACTATAAAGGAATCGTCACCTGAAATTCTACCGAATAATCAATTTTTTAAATAAATCCCGGTTATTTATTTGTCATTTTATTGTTTTGGGATTGATTTCGATAAAAAAAAAATTAGATTAATCTACAATTATCAATGAATTTTACCCGAGTGTAAAAAAGGATTTCATTTTTGAAGAACACATTGCTCCTGAAGGTATTCCTCCTCCCCAGATTTGATGGAAAGGATTTGACAACGACTTTGACACTCTCAGGCTTTCCTTTAATCTTTCCATTAATAACAACTCGATCAACTTCTGATAAATAGCTGTCCCCTTTAGCTGAAGCTTCTCCAAACTCCCATCCTGTCACCTCCACATCCTTCTCTCCAAATTTCTTGGCCAACACTTCCTCCAGCAATTGTTCCGTGAAGAATTTGCTGACTCCATTCAGTAATTCAATGTCTTTGCCCATTTTTCATTCGCTTGGATGGTTCTTTTTATTCTCACTGAAATTAATTATGAGTTAATTATAGTTCCACATTGGAATCAAATATTAAATATTATAATAAATATGTTTGGATAAAGAAATGTATTTATTATTCTTTATTTACTGAAAAAATCGGAAATTCTGATGATTTGCATTAACAAATGTAGTTTTTTCAATTTTGTCTATCAATTTTATAGGAATTTTATTAACTGTATTGTTTATTTAATTATGAAAATAAATGGATCGTTTTTCTTGTTGATTTTTTAAATGTGCAACCGGCGTATATTATATACTACAACAATAATATATATTGTTACTATGTAATATATAGAAGTCGATACCTGAGGGTCACGAGGTGCCACGTACAGTAATTATTTTTCCAAAATAATTGACTTCCTGAATTCTGGGAATTAAATTATAATAAAGTACCAGATATCTGTGAATTAGCTAATTGTTATATAGCGATAAACATTTGTTGTGTTGGCCTTCTCGGATATTTTGCGCAGTAATTAATAAAGGAAATTGTTATTGGAAATCAGTTCACTTATCAATTGTTGAATGTAATATGATCTAATCGCTTTGAGATATGAATTACTTGGAAGAATAAAAAAAAATAGGGATAAACAAAGGGGGAGGGACACTCATCACTTCACATCAAAGATGATTGACTAAAGTGGAGGCTCAGTTCTGCAAGAGGGAGGGCGCCACACGCAATGCTGGGGTGTTTTTTTTTTATTAACCGAGTTTTTATTGCAATGCTGGGGTATTTATCAAGTCGACGGGGTGAATTTTATTTTCTGCGGTATGAATGCCTTTTGTTTTTTATTTGTTTAACTGAAATTTAGCCGAATATAAAACGTGCGGAAGGGGGAAACCACATCTTGTGGAATTTCAATGAAAAAAATAATTCAATGCATTGAAGATATACCACTAATTAAATAATATTTTTATAATAAGCGCGTTGTCTCAATGGTAACGTGCTTGCCTACTACACCGACGGCCGGGGTTCGATCCCGCCGTCATTCATTTTTTTTTTATAAATAATTGCATTTTTATCTTTTTTTAATTGGTTAATCAATCTAAATATCGTTTAAACACTGAATTTTTGAAAAGCGGAAAGATATCCTGTGAAATTGAAAATTTCGACATTTTTTAAAACGAAACATTTGAAAATATATACTAGTAATAAAAATTTATTTTTATTATAACACGTTGTCTTAACGGTAACGTGCTTGCCTATCACGCCGACGGTCTGGGTTCGATCCCGCCGTCATTCATTTTTTTTTTTTAAATAATTCAAATTTTTTCTTTCGATAGGTATTCACTGCAATTGAAAAATTCGAAATTTTTGTCAAAGTATCAGGAGCACATGACAATCGAGGAGCTCTTCACTGAAATTTTCACTGAAGGTGAAAAATTCGAAATTTTTGTCAAAGTATCAGGAGCACATGACAATCGAGGAGCTCTTCACTGAAATTTTCACTGAAGGTGAAAAATTCGAAATTTTTGTCAAAGTATCAGGAGCACATGACAATCGAGGAGCTCTTCACTGAAATTTTCACTGAAAGTGAAAAATTCGAAATTTTTGTCAAAGTATCAGGGGCACATGACAATCGAGGAGCTATTCACTGAAATTTTCACTGAAGGTGAAAAATTCGAAATTTTTGTCAAAGTATCAGGGGCACATGACAATCGAGGAGCTCTTCACTGAAATTTTCACTGAAAGTGAAAAATTCGAAATTTTTGTCAAAGTATTAGGAGAACATGACAATCGAAGAGCTATTCACTGAAATTTTCACTGAAGGTGAAAAATTCGAAATTTTTGTTAAAGTATCAGGGGAACATGACAATCAAGGAGCTATTCATTGAAATTTTCACTGCAAGTGAAAAATTCGAAATTTTTGTAAAAGTATCAGGGGAACATGACAATCGAGGAGCTATTCAGTTTTTAACCATTAATTCGATTTATTAGCCAGTTACAAAAGAAAAAATTGCAATTATTTAAAAAAAAAAAATGATTGACGGCGGGATCGAACCCGGGCCGTCGGCGTGATAGGCAAGCACGTTACCACTAGGATAACGCAACGTTACAACAATATAATTTCATTAGGAGTATATATTTTGCAAAAGTATTGTTTTAAAAAATTGTTAATTTGTCAATTTCACAGGATATCTTTCCGCTTTTCAAAAATTCAGTGTTTAAACGATATTTAGATTGATTAACCAATTAAAAAAAGATAAAATTGAAATTATTTAAAAAAAAAAAAACGATTGACGGCGGGATCGAACCCGGGCCGTCGGCGTTGAAGGCAAGCACGTTACCATTAAGACAACGCGCTCACTCTGCAAATAATAATTTTATTAGTGGTATATCTGCAACATATTGAATAATTTTTTTCATTGAAATTTCACAAGATGTGGTTTCCCCCTTCCGCACGTTCTACAGTCGGCTAAATTTCAATTAAACAAATGAAAAACAAAAAGCATTCACACCGCAGAAAATAAAATTCACCCCGTCGACTTGAGACACCCCTCCCTTGGGGTGCAGTACTACGATGCCACTGGGGTCACTCAAACCCCCAGAACTGAGCCTCTACTCCAATCAATCCTCTTTGCTTCACATCTTCACAAAAACATAATTTATTGTCTTCTATTATATTTTTAAATATTGAAAAAAATGTCGGAAAAGTCGGAAGACATTCATCAGTAATTATTTCAATTGCAAATAAAGTTCCGTGACATTTGAGTCATGGGTTTCCGGGTATCGCGTAATTGCGGTATGAATTTTCCTGTTTTCTTCTGAGAAAAATGGGCTTGCGTAATGATTCCTGTACCACTGCCACTGATCCTCAGAGAAAATCATTTCCTCCAGATCCCCAGTGACCTCGAACTCCAAAAGGCTTTAAAGATGAAGAGCAAAACCGATGCTGTGCAATCCTGAAGAAACTTAATGAGAAAAAACGAAAAATTTGAATAATTACCATTAATATAAATAATTCTTTTTCAATGACAATTAAAAATTGAATTAATTTAAGAATATATACATATATATTAAATATATTATTACAGATTATATTATGGATTTGAACTTTTCGATGTGCTCCGAGGGTTTAAGAATCAAAATATCGGGAAAAATCGGATTACTCTATAAATTGTTCTTGGATATGCTGCACATAAGCCTTTTTTATTCAACTTTATTATACAATAAGAATTTTTCGAATAAATATACAGCTTTCTTGGATTTCTAACATGAACTCGAGACTTTTATTAAAGTCGGATTGAAATTAAAATAGTATTAAAAATGCTGTGCAATTTAATTCATGTACTTCTCTCGGTAATTACAATGGGAAAATATTTCCATCGTGTAATCCAAGTCTTTTGTACGGATAATTACATAATAATGAGATTTCCGGGGTTTTTCTATCGGCAGATCAATTCGCTAAGATATTATAGGGATATAGAATAATTCCTTTTGTCTCCGGTCTTTACAGAAATCCGTGATCGATTCCATGTTTAACAACATCGGCAAGACGGAGTCGATTGACTTTGTTATTGGTGGGTTTGAGGGTCCAGATGTCTGCTATATTCAAGACTTCACCATTTGTGTCATCTAAATCGAATGATTCATCCGCTGAGAGCATCGACATGGGGAGAGTCTCCAGGCCAAAGGCAAAACCGAAGACAAATTGTTCTTTCACCTGAAAAATTCCAATCAACTCATTACTCCGATCCCTAATCGTCATGATCTATCAGAGAGAAGACCAAATTAGTTCTGCTGAGAATATAAATGTTGGTCCATCCAATTGTCTGGTCTCGAGATTATAATTCCGCAAGAAAATATTCTACTGACAGATATAAGACATATTTTTCAATAAATAATAAGAAAAACAAACAATAATGTTTTAGTGGAAAGCAAATGATTTTCCCCGAAGCTAAAGTTTGTGCTGGCGTTTTTTATCTAGTGATATTCTTGAATTAGCAGAAGAATTATTCTCTCAGATAAAATACTATTGTATAGTCTCATGAATTTTCAGTATTATTTATTATATAATTAATTTGTTTACGGCATTTATCGAGTGAGTAATCAGTTTTTAAATCAGAAAATAGAATCTGAAGTATTTCAGTAGTTATGAGGAAAATTGTATGAGTTTGATTTATTTTTTATGATTTATTTTCTCACCTCTTCCATGAACAAACTCAAAGGGTAGATGTCATCGATATTGGAGCCCAGCTCAGCCATGATTTGTTTCATTTCATTATGATAATACTTAAGTAGATTCAGGAAATATTTATCCCTTGTCTCTTTATCGGTGACAGTATAAACAAAGTACGCGAGATCGTGAACGGGACTTGCACATCTGGCAAGTTGAAAATCAAAGATTATGGCATCGTGGTCGCCATTAGGAAGAATTCGAGTCATGAAATTCGTTGCCCACGAATCCCCATGATTCACCACAAATACTGATTTATTCCTCTCATTCAATAACTCAACGCACTTGCTAAACAACTTGCGAGACGTCATTGTTCGGAATTTTTCCTCCTGGGGAGTTCCTGGATATTCTTTTGCCATTGCATCTTGAGCTGCATTAATACTCAGTGTCTGAAAACAAGGAAAAATAATTAATTCTCACATTACCATAACACCAGGATAATATCGATGAGTTGTTTATGTAAATTATTGTAATCGCACTGAAGACTGAATAACTGTAAATGGAATGGTTTTTTATTAAATATTTATTGATTTTTCGCGTTGAATTTTCAAGTTACTGTAAAAATGGAAATCACTGAGAAATTACATTCATTCATCAGGCATGAATTAAATCAAGGGGATACGTAAACAAATAAAAATTGATAATATTTTCCTTTTAATGTAATTTTATGTCTAGGGACTTCATTAGATTTTCATAATATTTCATGGCAAGATTCCATCTGGAATTGTTAAATAACAAATGATTCTATAAATTAACAATAAATCCTTCGACGGGTGTCATTACATAATCAAATAACCGTATGATTCCTGTTTATTCATGTGAGGTGATTATTATCTTTCGTGTGAGCAAAGCGACGTAACAGTACTTTTTAATTATTGTCGTCATTCATAGAATTTATAAACAATTATAGACGAATAGTAATTTTGGAGTGGGAAATTATTGGAATTTAATGAGATAGAAATTATTTAATTATTATAATTGATTTAATTCAGTAGTGCAGAGGTAAAATCGAATGAATGAATTTTTATCGATGTCGGTTTTTAGCGAATATCTCGGAATTGAAGGCACATATCGAATTTTTTGTGTGAACATTTTTTATAGAAAAATGGGAGACCTAGAAAAAAGGTATCCATGAAAATCCCGATATCTTCCTCCAATTTCGAGGAATCGGTGAAAAACTGGCGTTCGGAAAAATAGACTTTTCCCAATTAATTTTGTGATGAAATCGTTAATTGAGTTATCGATAAATAGTACTCACATAATATCTGCCGTACCAATCCCAGAATTTTTCCGTGAACAATGGCTCTGAGAGATATTTGGTAGCTTCGAGCAATTCCTGGGGTTGCTGTTGCAAAACAGCCAGAGAAATTCCATGATATTGAGCAAAAGCTTTGAAGATCACCTTGCAATCTTCATATTTCCAGGCCTTCAGTCTGTCAATTCCGGAGAATCCTTTGGCCTTTGCATCCTCGAGGACAATAAAATCGTTCTCTCCATCCTCCAAATATCCCAGGCACCTAGGAACGTTGAGAAGTTCTAGTTTTCCTTTCTTCGTCAAGAACTCTTCAAAAAGAGCGATCACCTGTCGACAAAAATAGAGAACACCGACTGAAAACAAAAACTCAAAAAAATAAAACGAACAGTTGACAGCTGTTCTGTTACACAAACTTCTCCTTTCCCTCTCCCAATTTTACAGACAACAATAAATATGAAAGAACGAATAAACAATTATTTAATTAATTACTGGTAATTGAATAATTTATTATTCCAACGGAATGAGTAATTGGCGAAGGAAAAAAGGGATAAATATAATCAATTGGCGGAGGTAGAATTTCGAGGTTAGGAATAAATATAAAAATAAATTACCTTAGTATAAAATGCAGTTTCATTTTTAAAGAAGTCTTTACTCCTGAAGATAGTATTTCTCGTTTTATTAGTTGGAATGGCCTTGACGATAACAGTATTCCGTGATGATTTTCCCTGTACCAATCCATCAATTGTCACACGACTGACAACTGACAGATAATTGTCACCCTTTCCAGCAGCAGCTTCAACATTCCAAGATGTCACAACAGCACCATCATCACCTGTCAGCTTGATCAGAACATTTCTCAGTGTTTCTTCAGTAAATTTTGAACTCACTGAAGCTAACAAACTCCTGTCGGTACTCGTCATACTCAAATCAATTGGTAATTATAAATTATAGTACTGCACAGCTCGAAGGTCTGGTGAGTTCTGGTCCCCACTGGTCAAGTCTTGCCTATTGCATTCAATTTTCCTGTCGACGTGGCACTTGTTTTGCGAATTACATTCGAGGAAGGAGAGGTAATGGAGTAGATAATACATTAAATCCAAAGACAACTTCAATTACACCAATTAGAGAATTTTCTCTATATTCTATCTATTCTCCCTCCCAGTGGTTCATACAAAACGTTTACATACACAATCTTTCGGCGTGCCTTATCTCAATGAAATTACCATAATTCCATCGTCAAACGTTTCTTTTTTTGGATTTTTTTTTTTTGCATTATTCTCGAAGGAAAATTTTCAATTTACAGTGTTGGAAGAAACCTATCAGAGTAAAACAGACACGTAAGCATTTTTATTTGGCCGAACGTTGTCTAGTCATATTTCCACAATGAACGTTAGGCCAAGTCTAATTATCTCTACGGCACGTGATTTTTACAAAAGAATTTTTTCACTCAAGGATTTCGTTAAACTCTGAAAATATTTACAGAACGATTAATTCTCTTTAATCAAATAAACAATCATTGGAGTTCATGTTATTACTCTACCAGGTGTCTTCGTGGTGTTTTTTTCTTCTCATTTATCTAAAAATTTTGGCTTCTATTTAACAGCGAGTAACAACTTATACATCAGCATTAACAACAATAACAACAATCATATCTATAGAGAAATAATGGGAGAAGATGAGTCGAAAAATTTGACAGATTATGGAAAATACATCTTGAAATATATCTCCCTCAGAGGATAACACGGGACGAATTTTTTTTACACAAATATTTAAGATTTATAAAAAAGATCCTTTTTACCTTCTCTGATGTCTCAATTTCAAAATATATTTACAGGATAATCCAGGAGAATATTTCAGGCTCATCTTCTCTCGTTGTTTCGATACAGAAATGCTCTTCTGTTTTGAATCAATTTTCTCTTATATTCATTAATAATAATTTTGCAGGTCGGTAGCAACATTTCTCTCCAGTGCTACCTTTACAAAAATCCTCATCCTCTGGACGTTTCAAACCTAATTAGCATAATCTAGCTTCTAGTTACTAAGAGTCATCAACGTTTACAGTGGCTTTTCGTCTTTTTCCCATTTTCTTAAAATACTTATTAGCCCATTCAATCTCAAATTGACCTGGGTGAGGTGATATAATGACTCTGTTGGGAAAAGATAGACAAAATGATCAGCATTTTCTACATGAATATCTCATTTCTTTGGTTTACTTGTGGATGGATGTGAAGGCATGTGTTTTTCAATTCCTCATGAATTATCCAAGCAATGGGCTATCGTCTCGATGTCTCGTTTCATTGTGCGTCGTATAATGATAAAGTTCCGTCCAATTCCATCGCTGCAAGATAAATTAGTGGGGAAGTGATAAGGGCAGATGTCCAATAATTTCGTACCGATTATCCTGCGCTCATTACTCATCAAATTTACACGAAAAAAAAAATCTCTGCATTCTCAATTCAACGAACACCCAGATATTTTGCCCCTTTTTCTAGAAATTAATCTGCAAATTGTCTCACAAAAAATCGTCGAAGCGAAAGAATGAGAGGAGACCACTGAGATGTTCATTGGAAATTTTTGTCGGGCTGAAAGAAAATTTTTGAATAATTTCTCTACCTAAACCTAAACTATAATTCTGCGCGACGTTTCTCCTCTGAAAACTTGGCTACTAAAATCATTATTACATTGTTCACCTTCCACATTATTCTATATAGCGAGAGAAATAAATTTGTTGTACTTGGAAACACGTGTGCATGATTTTTTTTCACTAGTGATTCATCCTGCGTCCTTCCATGGCGGCAATATCATCGACAGATATCAATTGTTCGATGGGAATGCATGAGAGTTCACCACCAACGCAGGATTGTGGCTGTTGCCATCGTGCCTCACGTTCTGCCTCCTTAGCCTTGACCTCAGCCTCTCGTGCTCTGCGCTCTTTCAATTTGAGGGAAAATATAGCAACAGATCTTGCTCGTTTCATCAAGCTCTGCTTGACGCGTGTCTTCTTGGCCTCGCGTTCCTCCTTCGTCGGTTTGTCCTCCTCTTGGCTGGAGAGGGTGCGACTTGAATCGGAGAGACCACCAGCCTCTGCCTGACCGAATGAACGACGATCACGAGATTCAGCTTGAGGCTCTCGAGGCTCTCGGAGCTCTCGGGATTCACGAGCTACTCGATGATGTTGGAACTGGGGTATTTGCTGGATTATTTGTCTCTCTGGTCTCTCCCGAATTTTCGCTGTCTCTTTTTCCGGTGAGAATCGGAACTTTTGGTTGCGATTGGCGAGGGACCAAGGGGGAGCAGATCTGGAAGCCCAATTAAAGTCTCATTACATTTTAATTAAACAATTGATGATTAATTGCATAATTTGAAAAATTTTTAAGTCGAATCCACGAATTTTTTATTCAGTCCAGACCTTTATGCCATTATTTATTTGCCGGAAATGATTAATTATCGATTATTTTCTGGAGAAAATAAATTTATCATTTATTAATAGTAAATGACGTGAATAATAAATAGTGAATGCTGAAATCATTAAACTTGCCGTAACAAATCGCTGTCTGATGATGAGGCAAGTTCTTTGGAAACGATACAGTCAGTGGAGCGATGCAGCGAGATGTCCTCAGCAATGGGTCCAGGGCTCCCACCTCCAGGTGTAGCACTAATTTCCGAATCACTTGATTTTCTCCCTCCAGAGTTCTCCAATCCGAGTCGCCTGACCCACTCGATTCCTCCATGAGGACCTATAGTGAGGTGATGACTGTACTGATCAGTCCCAGGTGAGGATTCTTGCTCGCTCGACAACCAGTCTCTGGATCGTCGCCCTGAGACAACAAAAGGGTCTAGCGAGCCCCGAAAAACCAAAAAGTCTAGTCTCCTCGAGGACAAAACCCCCAAAAAAAACCGAAACAAAACGCAATGAAGATGAAAAAAAAAAATAAAATGATCTAGAAATCGAGAGCAAATGAAATAAGCAAAAGTTTACCTTTCTCGCCTCCTGGAATAGAGCAACGTGGAGTATTATGAGATTCTCGATTTCCAATGGTGTAACCGGGCAGAAAAGTGCTACTACCGTCACTTGCGACACTTCCTGGTGTCTCCAGCTGCGGTGGGGTTTCTGCGATTCTTGGAACCTGTCCATATGCTGCTGGGGTTGGTGGACTGCTTGGAGTATGACCAGTTGATGAAGCTAGAGTCTCTTGGGTGTCAGTTCCCGTGCTGGTCTTCTCCAAGACTGATATCCCCTCGTCGCTTTCACCGTCTGCTGTACTCACCACGAACCTCCCTGAGTTCGAGGATAATTTAACAATTGGAAGGAGGGATCGACATTTTTTTTTATCTTCAGACATTGAAGAAAATTTTTGGGGGAGAATTGTAAAAAAAATCAAAGTTTATAAATTGAAATTACAATTCACGTGTAAACAGTTTCAATATTGATAACGTCTACTCTGATTTTACAATTACCCAGGCTTCACCGATAATTCATCAATACCTGTCCTCAGAGTTTTTTCGCTTTACTCCAATCTTTTTTATTCGCACTATAAAAATTATCATATAAACCAATTTCAACTGTGATTAAAGCTTGCTGACACGTAAACTGTATTTTCAATTTATCAGATCGTCCTGTTTATGAAGTACTCGTTATCGCATTAATTAATCTAACACGATCGATAGTGCATACATTTCTGTGTTTGTCCGTGCAATTTTCACCAGTGGGTAGCAGAGGAGAGGAAATTTTTTAAATTTCTCTTGGGAATTTACCTATGACCGTCTGCATCTGCTGCTCTGGTGATGGTGTTGAGGACAGTCGTCTCACTGCCTCTCTCCGGAGAAATTCAACTTTAGCCATTTCTGTTGCCACCCACGAAGGAATGTCGGGGATTATGATAGTGATTATGAAGCGTATGGCCATCATTATGTGCTCCAGGGCGACGATTAAGAGGATTGTCTGGGGCACTGACATCTCTGGGAACATTCGCTGGACTTGACCGCTGAGACCTATCAGAGCACAATTCACGAGAATCGCCACCAGTCCCATTGCCTCCATTGCATTCTGGAATTAAACATGAAAAAGTCATTAAACAACATACCATATAGATGGATAAATATACAGCAGGTCAAAACTCATAAATAAATTAATGAAATCGTGTTAATTTTAATCATAAAACCATAAATAACATAAAGCTCATATAATGAAAAAAAATCATCACATAAAGATTAAAGTAAAAAATGGGGGAATGTTAATAAATTTTTCTAAAAAACACTAGAGACAATAGCAATTATTACCTGCCAAGTGCCGATACTAGAAACTCGTCTGCCAAACGGTCGCTGGAGGACGAAGCACAACTTGAAAGCATCTCCTCGAAGTTCAAGAAGATTTCCCAGAAGAGCAGCCATCGCAGCAAGGGGAAATGCAGACGAGAACAGACAGACATATCCCAGCTGTGACAGCATCTCCAAGTGCTCAGAGAATGCTCCATCATACTGCAAAAATTCGTTATCATTCCCTAAGAAGTAACCCCAAGACGATGATGAATCCATTACTACAGCGCTAATTGATCTAGTGTCAGCGGAGTAATAGTTGTGCAATACTTATTTATTAAATGAGCAGAGCTTGAGATGCTGGAGAGTAAATAATGATAATCGAATGGGATACAATTTACCTTTTTGCTAAAGTGTATCTGGAGCGTCGATGACCGGGATATGACCGATGAAGAAATCAAAATCAAATTATTCAAAAATTTTGATCAACTAAACGAAATTATTACCACAAACAGAAATTCTGTGGAGAAGTCGTAAGAATAGTCTCTACAATCCTCATTATTCACCGAGAGTTGTTAATTAATATTTGCTATTCCATAATTAATATCGGAATATTCATAATTTTTATCACCGAATCTACAAAAAAATCGACTAAAAAATGTAAATAATCCCCGAAATTCACCAAAAATTAGTTAAAAAAACAATTGATAAATATAATTAAATTCCCAGATCAACCAGCAATGAAATAATATTCTCCGACTAGTCATTTCACCGCTCCACAGATGAATTGATCTTCAGGATTTTAAATCGTGAGTATAAAAATACCAATTAATGTGCGTCAAATTGAAATAATCAGAAAGATTGAAAAATAACGACGAGAGAGAAGCATTTGGCAAGGTCTAGACCAAACCTTGAAGGTAACGTCACTAAGAAGAGAATTAGCAGGATGTCCTACTCTGTAGAGAGAACTTTCAAGCTCTGCCTGACTAATCGTCCTCTGTTGTTTTCCTTTTTGTCCCTCTTTGGAGTCTCTCTCTTCCTTTTCATCACTTGGCACTTCGGTCTCTGGATGTTCACCTTTTCCTGGAGGTGCTCGAGCTTCGCTGGGACTTAAAGCACCAAAAAGCTCAAAACTCATACGAGCAAGACGCAACTGCTCTATCAAGTAAGGAATTGCTGATTCCTTCAGATTACTTATCACTTGACGAGCGATCAATAATGCTGCCAATTGCTGGGGGAGAATTTCATTCATTAATTGCAATTAATTGTTGTTTTTATGTCAATTCCTCACCTCTTTCAATCGTTCTTGATCTTGAAGGTAGAATGCGATGTAGAAGAGCGATAAAAATGAGTTGACGAACTGAAACTGAAATAGAAGATTACTTATTTTTTTTTAAATACAAAAAAAATTCGCGAATTCACTTGTCTAATAATTCTGTGTAAAAATGAGGGGCAGCTAGGGACTGATTCTAGTTTATTTGAATTTTCTGGTTGGGTCTCTGAATTTTTTTATTTGAGAAAATTCTTTTCGTATTTTTTTCGAATTATTGTCGGGCTCTCGTTATTCCTGAATTTGTTTATCTAGCTATTGACTAAGGATTTTTTATTGATTTTTTACTAGATCTACATCTAACACCGTTTTTTTATAAAACAATTAGCCTCATGCAGTCATTCCACGTTTTCTTAGAATTTCTATGATGGACTTGAATGGTTAATTGATCAATTAAACTCTTCATTACCAGTGCCACCTTGTAGATCAGATGATTCTCGTACTCGGTGTCAAGACGATAGTTTTCTGCGTCCAAAAAAGAAATCATAGATACTATATCTACCATCAATAAGAAAACGAGAGACTAATTGTGGAAATTTGTGGAAGGAAATAAGTCAATTCAACCGGGCAGTTATTATTAACATAGATAAATTAAGGGGAAGAAAAGTCTGAGAGAAAAAATGAGAAATTCTATCGATTTTTCTATTGGTTTTAATAGAATATTAAAAAGAAAGAGTAAATAAAAGTTCAGAAAAGTCTGAGAGAAATGGAAATCTATAGATTTTTTGGAATAATCTGATGGATATTAATTGTTATCACAATATTAATAACAACAGTTTTGGATTATTTATAAGAATTTTTATGAAATTTCCTGATGGAATTTATTCAATGGGATAAGATGAAATTGTTTCTCATGAAATCATAAGTTGACTGGACTTATCTCGTTTCTACTCAGCTACTAAATTGATTCCGAGAAATTGACTCTACAACTTCGTAATATCTACCATCAAGTTAATCAATAAATTGCTATAAAAAACAATTTCTAAATGAACGTGCAAAATAATAATTTTCAAAGTGAAACAAGACGAGTACATTTTTTCAATGTCAGTTTTCATCAAATATCTCGAAACAGAAAAAAGATATCGATATTTTCATAAGAACCTTTTTTGTGGCTCTCATTTTTTCCCACAAAAAATGTCACTACAAAAAATCACCACCTCCTTTCAATTCCGAGATATCGGCTAAAAACTGGTATCGAAATAATTGTACTTATCCCAATTTACACTTCACTATTGAATTTTTGCTATGAATTATTCGAAAGCAGTGCAAGGGCAGCGAAGTGGCAGATAAATAAACAAATGATATTTAAGTCCCTCATGAAATACCTGGGATTTAATCGCCTAATTATTTTCCACTTCTCTACAAATTTCTACAAAGATTGTTTATTCCATTATCATTCCTAAAAAACAATCTTCCAGAAAGAGAATTGAAAATAAATAAATATAAATAAATAACCTAATAATAATCATAATAATAATAATATAAAAAACATTGTTACAATAATCCGTACAGAGTCGATAGATTGATCGCCCGTTCATCTCCACTTCGCTACACAATTTATTTTACAATAAAAAAAATGTAAGTCGAGACTGAATGAATGAAAAAGTTTGAATCTCTCCCCATTTATTACCTACATAAACTCCAGAAATATTGAAACTGGGAAAATGGTTCTCAAGTGGAGTAATATCGAGGATTAAATGAGCGATTGGAAAAGACATACCCAAATCATTCAACCAAACAGCTATTTTGAAGTACGCCTCATCCATCACTGCAATCACCACTGCTAATAAAACTTTTGGTACATAACTCAACCAAAAACCATATCCTGCTGCTTCCAATCTTGCGTCCCACCAGTCCTAATTGCATTAAAGATTTTCAAATTTAATAAAATCGCCGATGCACCTCTGGTTGAGCTGCATTAAGAAAAAATTTATATTTCTCAATGTAACTCACAATTGAGTAAAACTAAAAACCTGTATCTGAAAACTGAGAATCATAACGATGAAGACGAAGAAGAGAGAGACTGCGATGACTGGAACAGTTATGCAATAACGAATTGCATTTCTTTTCCAATTCGGATACGTTGGCTCGAGTCTTCCAGTTACAGGTGAAACTTGAAGAGTTCCCTGAGAACAAATCAAATTTCAAAACAAAACAAAATTAAAAACGAAAAATTAAATCAATTCCAAATTATAGTTTCACTCTCATAAAAATCTATCTATTAAAAAAATTAATTGTTATAACATAATAATAATAACAATAATAATAATAATAGCAGCAAGGTAATTTTTAATTGGATGCAATTCTAAACAAAGCAAAAAGCCCTAGATTCTTTTAGAATAATTTATTTTGTTCACTCTGAAAAAAATTTCAAAGTGCGCAAAAACATTTATAAATAAAAAATAAAAAATCGAGATAATCCTGTGCTCTTGGAACAGCCATTACGTCGACTTCCTGAGGCTTAGCGTGAACTCCAGGGGCCAGAAAAAGCGGTCAAAGTTGTTGAAATATAGCAAAGGGGATTATTCGACGTACAACTTAAGGATCAAGTAAAAATGGCTCTGACTACTAAATCGCTGAGGACATACCACGAATAGTGGTCTAGGCTCCACTAGGAGATCATCCCTTTGATCTAGTGTTCCCCACTTGTAGGCCAGCTCTGCCCCCTTTCGCTTCCAAGTTTCGAGGTATGCTGTTGCCCATATGACATTCAGAATGGAGAACAACACGTACGCAACGTCTTCCACCGCCTGGTTCCTTCCGATGATGCCGACCTGAATATAGAAAGACAAATAATTAATAACAATAAATTATTATAGCGGAAAATTCGGTTTTTTTATTGAAGATTTTCCTTGTAATTTGTAGCATTTAGTTCCCAGGAATGACTTTCATCTATAAATGGAAAAATTGTGGACAAATAACGGGTCACGTCCCTCTGTTGTTATCTGGCTTGTTGCGCTCGCCGACTATTTGTTTTCAGAGTTTTGTTTGTGAAGAGAACGCTTGAAAGAAAAGTGGAAAATGAAAAAAAAAAATTTTCTGTGAAAAATAGAACGAAATGGACTTTTGACATTATGCAATATTTCCTGGGGAAATGGTACAGTCTGGATTGAATTCGAATGAATCAATTAATTTGATGCACTCCATGCAAAAAAATTAATAAATATTTTCTTACTGTAGTGTTGGAAAAACTTAATCGTGTTTCGTGTGCGTGCGAAAAGTGTTATTTTGCGCACTAGCAACACAGTATATTATTTATACCTAAAATTATTTTTTATAATACTTTTAAAATATCAATAATATTTTCCCTTCCCAAAAATCAGTGATTATAAACTTTTCTGTAATCGTAATAAGATTATAATTTTTATCCCGAATGTATAATTTCTTTCAATTTCTTCTAGTATTTGACCTAAATTACTGTTCGTTTTTTTTCAACATTTTTAAATTCATTCTTATGACGATTATGTGGTGCGGTGTTAACTGGACGACCAACGGACTGTTAAAAAATCTCTGCACCAAGAAAAAGAGCTTTTGACATTCTCCGGATAATTATTCACGCTCGACATGAATTGGGGGTTTAAAATCCGAGGATTTCCCCTTAAAAACACCTGAAGACATTTTAAAATCTCATTTCGACGAATAATACATGCACTGCGAAAAAATATTACATAAACAATATAAAAATATAATAAAGTTCAGAGACTATAATCCGTTTATTATTTTCTTATTCCATCCCTATTAAAAAAAATAAGTAAAAGATTAATTTCTCGAGTTAATTGCAGACTTCAATTAATCCCGATTTTATTTCTCTTATTTATTTATTATTTATTTCTATTTTCCAGTGATTCGTTAATGCATAGAGATAAATGAAATAAATAATGAATTAATTAATAACGATTAGTATTTACCCAGAATATGACACCCACTGCAGCAGGAACGACAAGGGCGGTGGTGTAATGTCCCAACCAGGCGAAGTACATTGTTATTTTAACTCCAAAGTAATTGCAAATGTCGTCAAGGGGTTGAGGGCTGAAGAATGCTCGTACCCAGCTCTTCTGAAGTTTCTCGAGTGCTGGTAGTTCATGAAGAGGAAACACCTAGTCAAAACAAGTGCATCCATTCACATGAATTAAATAAATAATGAATAACAAATCCATCAAAAGTCAATCACTAATTCGAACAAATAAACATTAAAAATAAAACTGAACATTCAGATGAAAGGATAGATTAATTAATGATAAACATTAATATAGGTTAAACAATTATGATTACGTGTGAATACTATTTGAATGAATTTGATTTTTAATTTGAGATGGAAGTGCTCACCTGGGAGATGACACCAGCTGAAATGCACTTGGGGATAATGGCCTGTCCTTCCACTAGCTTGATACCAGGAAGACTTTTCAGGTCCTGCTGACCTGCTCTTAGTGTGTGGAGGAGATGAAGAACAAGGGATTGTCTCTCTTGGGTTGTGAAGAACTGTGTCTCGTCTTCACTTCCCTCGAAGCAACTGGTTTCAGAGCAAACGAATTCCTTGAGACCACCACCGTACTCTTGACGAAGACCTTTTGGCAGGTGCATCTCTTCTGCCGCTTTGAGGAGTCTGAGGCATCATGCACATATTTACAAGTGATACATTATGTATTAATAACATCCTCACATTAAATCTCAATTAAAAAAAATAAATCTCATCTTAAAAAATTATTACTAATAACTACAAATAATGATAAAATGATAATAATAAATCTACCTTAATTATAAATAATAATAATATTATAATTTTGTAGGAAAGTTGTAAATTGGGATAAGTGCATTTTTTTCGAGATCAGTTTTTACTGGATATCTCGAAATCGAAGGGAGATATCGATTTTTTCATGAATACATTTTTTGTAGCTCCTATGATTCTCTTTAAAAAATGTTTATATGAAAAATTCGCTGGGGTCCTTCGATTGGGGAATATTGGCTGAAAATTGGGTGCTGAAAAAATGCACTTGTCCTGGGTTACTACTTTGGCATTATCGTACATGTATTTTACCGTACATTGGAAAAGGTGCTGTGAGGTAGAATCCGTAACTATCCGAAGACGCATGTTGACGAACGTGAACTACAAGTCCTGGTGAACCTGCTCGTAGTCTTCCAAGAAGCCACATTAATGTTTCATCATTCACACCACTTGGAAACATCACAACAACGTCGCACTCCTGAAAATTCATAATTCATCATTACGAATGTCCCTTTGAATCCATAAACATCAATGATTACTACCACCTCACAACGTAATTTTTGTTCCATTTTAAATATTCGTCAGTACGCCCGTTAATGTACCAATGTTTAATTAATAAAGTGATGAACCAGGACGAGTGAATTTTTTTCGGCACCGGTTTTTAGCCGATACCTCCGAATCGAAACAAGATAACGATATTTTCATAACGACCTTTTTTATAGCTCACATTTTTTTCTATAAAAAATATTTCTACAAAAAATTTCATATGTGCCTTCAATTCCGAGATATCCGCAGAAAAAATCGCCTCGAAAAAAATTCACTCATCCTAATTTACCATTTGGTAACTAAATTTATAATAACCGTGTACTTTTCTCTTCGAAATATGTACATAGTGTATATATTCAAGTGGAACTTGAATGGTCACGAAATTAGAGAAACGAAATAATGAAAAATTCAGGAGTGACTAGCGACAATTACTCAACCGGTCACGCACAAATTTTTCGAATCGAATAATTGAAGGGCAATTCGGTATCAACGGTCAGTATGTGACATGAGTTGAATAGAACATAGGAAGATCGATTAGTAATTGTCGTGTCGACGAACTCGAAAAGGGATCGTAAGCCACATCGCAATTGCAGTAGTTGAGGTCTTTGTACACGTAAAACAGTCCCTCACGCTTCAATAATTACCCCATTTTATAGTTCTTCTGTGAAAATATCTATAATTTTCATGAAGAGCCACTGGAGAATCGAGGGACGATTCATAAATATCTCGAACTCTTTCTTAAAATGCATTTTTACTCTAGTGAAAAATTACACTTGAAATTCCAAGTGAAAAAATAATGTCTTTACAATAATGATTTATTCAGTCGCGTTTGGTGACTCGAGTGCTTTTAATGCCAACATAATTGGCATCATCCCAAGTCCACGCAAATCTCTCTTGATGTTTAGTCAATATTTGTTGAATTCGTCGCATGCGATTATGCGCATTCATGGGTTGATTCAGAAAATAAATCCAGTTACGAATTATCGTCACGCTTTGAATATCATCCGTTTTGTAATTAACACGGTGAATTAACTTTTGAGCTCCTCTCTTCAAAGAGAATGAGGATAAATAATTTTTCTCAATGTATCACTATTTATTTCATTTTTATTTATATAATCTCGCGATAAAACTCGGGATATTATCACGAGGCAAGTGATTTGTGTTAATTAGGTTACGCATCGAAAAAAGTCACTGCAAAAATTAATTCCATGCGATAATTTTTCCTTTAATTTTTCATAATTCTCTTCATAATTCAAATTTCATGTTCTATCGTTTCTCTGTCATTCTTATCTAATTTCTTGTCCATGAACGTCTCACATTTATATTACACTTAAAAACCTTATTATTAATCAATTATTAATTATTCATTCATGCGCCCGTTAATGTAATAATATTTAATTAATAAAATGGTAAACCAGGACAAGTGAATTGTTTTTCGTCGCCAGTTTTTACCCGATATCTTGGAATTGAACGCCCATATCAAAGTTTTCGTACGAACATTTTTTATGGGGAAAAATGAGAGCAATAAAAAAGGTATCCATGAAAATTTCACTATCTCCCTTCGATTTCGAGAAATGGGCAAAAATCTGCTTTCGACAAAAATTCACTTGTCACTTCACGACAGACAAAAGTTGTTCGGTTGAATTGTTTAATGATTTAAAAAATAATCAACTCACTTGAGTCGGAACCTTTTGGATCCAGAGGCGGCGGGGGGTCATCAGATGACCGGTGCATGGTATTTTGCGTCTTAAAAGTCTTGATGCTGAAATGAAAAAGTGAATGAAAAAATTATAAATCCCTCTATTGTTCCTATTCTGATGATCAACTCGTCTTATCCTCCCAAATCAAAGAACTGCTCTATATAACTGTCTTTTTTTCTCCTATCGAACCAACTCGGTCACCGTAAGTGGGCCGACCAACTTTCTTCCAAGAGACCTCACCCAAAAATTAATTAAATCAACAAAATTTACTGACAAACTAAAATTAATTCCTCTCACCCCAAAATTTCACTCCCAAAAAAATCCCTAAAACCCCCCAAAAATCCCTAGAGCCCCAAAACAATTGAAAACCCGATCACCACTGCAAATACCTCCCCCATTTTTAAAAACATATACTAAATGATAATTGAATTAATTATTTATAACACTCACGTATTTAAACGTCACAATGAAAATTTTTGAAAATTTTTTTTCTCTCATTCAGAGAAAAAATAAATTATGCAAAATAAATAATAATAAAATGTGCGAAGTAAATGTTTATAAAAAATATTTAAATGAAAATATTGAAATATATTTATCAAATATATGTACCAAATTAACTGGTAAAAAGTTAATTAATTTGGTACAAGTAATTTGTTCTCTGATTGCAGTGAATGCAAACCGATTTTTCTCATTTTTTCGTTCGACTTTTACGACTTTTATGATCTCAGTACCACCGGGATATTCCTGAGACCAGATGTCGTTTCCCAATCGATGGTCTTGATATTCCAAGTGCATGGACTATATGAAGAGGTCTAAAAACTCATTCAACATTTTTTTCTTGGACTTTCTACTCAAAATCCACGTGACGAAAATTGAGATCAACCCCTTGCCCTCTTCCAATATTATTAATGATATATCATATTAATATATATTATTAATTAATAATTGAATATTAAAATTAATATATCACATATCGATTATTTACAGATTCATTTTCAACAGTTCCAATAAATAAATATTTATTGTATAAATCAACAATAAATTTTTATCATTCATAAAAAAAATTCAAATATCAAATATTTTTTTCAATTGCTGATTTAATCAGAGATTTCACTCTGCGCTCATGAAAATTTTCAAAATATCTCCCACTTTTCTCGGTTTTTTTAAAGTCAGAGATAAATCGGAATCAACTCAGGGAATAATTCATTAGGAGTGAATTAGGTTAATTAGTTAATTAATTGTCGCGTTAGGCAATCGCATGATTTTTGGTATTTATTGAGGGGTTCGGTCTCTATCAAGTAGATATGGATGATTTTGATCAGACAGTGCTAGATTTTTTGTTTTCAATAACCGCATGATCTTCAGAGAGGTTGAGGGATCATGTCGAGTGGAAATAAAAATTGTGATGATGAAAAATCAATTTTCATGATTTTATAACGAAATAAAAAATATTTTTGATTGAAATTTAATTCACATTTAGGCAATAAAAAAATCAGACGAGTAACTAAAATTTCATTAAATCTCTGATAGAATTGAAAATTGAATTGCATTAAACGAATTTACACTTTGATCCTGAAAATCTGAAATTTCATTAAAAAACCAGAGATTATTTACCCCAAAAACCTAATGACTTGCTTTTTATGCCAAATCATAATTAAACTCTAGTTTTCAATAAAAATTACCTAGAAACCCACCCAATAAAAAATCCCGATCCCCCCACCACCCAGAAGTTTCGCAAAATCCTGAAAAATCCTAAAAACCCTCGGCCTTGTATTTAATCTCAAACCCGACTGATTCCTAAAACCCAAACTTTCATAGAAAAATCAATGACTGTTCAACCCTTAAGCCCAAATGTCATGACTGACTACAAATCAAACAGTCAAAAGATTTCCAAAAAAAAAAAAAAAAATCAAACCAGCCAACGAGCGCTGAAAATAAAAAACCCACCAATCATCAATTTCCCTAATGACCTAAAATAGTAAATTAAAAATAATAAAATTCCTAAGTTGCAACTCACCCTTATCGAATGTTTCCTTAGCCGCCCTTATGACCTTTCTCCTCCTAACACCATCACCAAGGATCGCGGTATCACCCTCACTGTCATCACACCTCCCGCACTCATCATCACTGATAACAGATTTAGTAATAGACGTGGGAACATCATTAAAATTCATTGGGGAATTTGACCCCTCGCCGCCGGGCATTGTGGGATATATCCCCCGTATCGGGTAGGACCTAGTGCAGTCCCTTCACGGTGGATCCCTGCACTTGTACTGAAGTCCGCATGGCGTCGTTGTCGAATATTTTTTCCCCCACTTCCAACCCTCCCTCTCCCCATCCAACCCCTTCCTTTCCCAGTCCACCCCTTCCATTCCCTCCCCACTTATTCTATCCCCTTCCATCCCCTGCCAACCCCTTCCACCACCTTTCACCCTCTTCAACCATCTCCCACCCTCTTCAACCATCTCCCACCCCCTTCAACCACCTCCCAACCCCTTCAACCCCACCACTCTAATAAACGATGGAAAAAGGACCCCCCGAATTGCCCGAGCGCTTTCTCCCAGTTCCACGGCGCCATCTGCCCCAGGAAGTGCTGACATGCGCAAAATCCACCCTCCAAAGTATTCCTTCAACCACAATCCACCGTTTTACCCCACCATCCCCAATCCACAACATATAACTCAATATCTACTTTGATATCATTCCTCTTGATATCAAATCCTCCGGAGGTTCAACACCCTGGGGCTGAGATTATCCAGCAAATATTCATCAGTCGTCTGGTCAATATTATGGCGATCGGGCTTTTGCTGTTGGTATGTAATTCTTAGTCCCCTGTCTTGATGAATTTTTGTTAAATAGTAGTGGAAATCGGGGCCGAGTGAGAGGGTGGAGGGACCATCGATCGCTACTGTCGTCATGGATACGAAATTCAGGTTTTAGAGGGAGAGGGTGACAATGGGGAGGAAAAATTATTCAAAAAATGGAATTATTCGGTTAATTTCTCTACCTCCACCTACTGATCCCCTCAATTCTCTGTAGATTAATCAGCGAAGAACTCCCAACGAGAATAATTCATAGTCGATTAAATATTTCACTGGTAAATTATTCCCTCAAAACCGTCAAAATCCACGACATCAATTACAATTATCATTATTATTATTATTATATTATTATTATTTCCGACAATACTACCCTTTACAAAGTGCCCCTGACTTATTATTTTTTTTAAACAAGACACTTGTTTTAATATCTAAAGAGATACTCTTGAAAACTCCATCTTCTATTTATACATCTCCTTCCTTCGATTGATTTTCTTTGGATAAAGAGACTCAGCACTTGTAATATTTACTTTTTTATTCAAAATACATTATTCATCTCGAATCGCTTGACACGAGTAATATCTCCGTGTACTTCCAGCAATCCAAGTACTCTAATTAAATTATAATTAAATACGTACAGTAATGATTACAGCTGTGATTAACACTAACGTGGACTCACGCAGAATGTTATCTCGTTGAGAAATAATAATCTGCACGCACTTTTTCATGGATAAATGTGACTGGGTCACAAGAGTTTACCATAAGTTACTCTCGGGTAATTAAATTGCCGTTAGTACGAATAATTTAGAGCTTAAACGATACAAAATGGGGAGGGAATGGAGAATAAAAATCGATTCGCTTGAATTTGGTATTGGGGTCAATGATGACGATATTGCGTATCGAGCGCATTAGAAAAATGGCGAATAATCTATGAAATCGATTATTCGATAAAATCGAACAATGAGTCGATAGAGAATCTAATAACGATTAATTAAGTAGCGAAATGATAAACTGGGATAAATACATTTTTTTTTCGAGTTCAGATTTCCGCCGATATCTCAGAATTGACGAAATATACCGATTTTTTTGCAGTAACATTTTATATCGGAAAAAATGAGAGCTAGAAAAAAGATATCTATGAAAATATCGTGATCTCCTCTCAATTTCAAGATATTTGCAAAAACCGGTTGCGAAAAAAAATCTCTCATCCTAGTTCATCACTTCGCAACGAAATTTATCACTCAATAGACTGGAAAAAGTCATTCAGATCTTCATCTTCTTGCGTGGAAGTCCTTCCGTGGTTTCGTCATGACACAACGACCCCGGTAGCATATCTCCGTCATATGAGAGACTTTTGTAGTCGTCGATGTTCTCAGAATAGTTCCCAGTTTCGTCGGTACACTAACAACTTCAGTTGCTTTTTCATTATTCTCTGTTGACTGTTCCTGAGTCGTTTCCACTGCCTTCGGAGAAGTTGGAGCTGTCGTGAGAGTTTCAGACGTCGAGGCAGTTGGAATTGTCGTCGGAGTATCTTCAATTATCCCAGAAGAAACTCCATCCAGTGTCTCCACATGAGATTCCTTGGTCGTGGTGTGTTCGCTCTGTTCTTTCCTCTCACTTTTATCCCTGGATCCTTCAGCCTCTTTCCCCTCATCCCCTGATCTTCTCAGTCCCATGATCATCGACAAGTCCGTCGGTAAATTATGGAGGTCAGGGGATGCCGTCGACCTCTCGTTATTCCAGAGATCCGGCCCATTATCAACAATCACTTTGTCCTCATCAGCATTCTTCATGGTATCGAATATCGCTTGAACATAATCAGATACCGCTCTAACACTCGAATCCCCAATGGACTTGGTTACAATCCCAGGGAGTTGAGTCGTTGGTGTGAGTGTACCTGATCTCCCATAACCGAAAAGCCCTCGATCATTTGGATATCGAACTTCACTCCATTCACTCCTGTGATTTTTAGGATAGGAATCGTCTCCATTCGACTGATAATTGTCTTCATACTGCTCTTGGGATCTCGGGAAATAATTCATCTGCTTTGTCTTGAACCACTCAGCATAACCATTAGTCGAGTCCCAGGACTTCCTTGGGACTGTCATTGTCGTCATCAACGGGGAATTTGTCGCAATTTCAGGATTTATCGTCGATTCATTATTGATGTCTTTTGGGGAAGTTTGTGGGGTTGTCGAAGGCTCAGTTGAATCGCTCTCGGTGTTAACTTGAAGAGTTCCTTCATTATTCATTGGTTTGGAGTCTGGCATCTCTGATGAGTTTGTGTGCTCGGGAACCTCCGTATAATTGATCGTTGTCGTATCGGTGGGGGCAATCGATTCGTTCACACTTGTCGATGGAGAAAGTGTCGTGGTACTTTCGGTGGTCTCTTGGGTCGTTCCTGGGCTGGAGACCGATGCAACACTCTGGGGCTTCTCACTGTCTTGTACTAGGTTGTTTACAGCTGAGTTTATGTGTTGAGACTCCGATGTCACGAAGTCTTCCGTAGAAGATGCTGGACGAACACGAATACGAACTCGACGTCTTCGAACTCCAGTCTGAAATCAGAAAATCATAAATAATTAATG